ATAAAGATTTCTGCTTAGCCCAAACTTTTCTAGTTTTTTTTGCTGATGCGAATTCGCTTTTGAAAAGTAATTTTTGTCTGACAGCTTGTATGGACACCATTCACTACTGCAAATGGTACAAGCAAAAAGGATATTGCACAGATGACAGATTCATGGACTATATGACAAGAAATTGTCCAAAAACTTGCGAGATGTGCAAAGCAGGTAAACTAAATCTACTTTTCTTTAGGAAATTAAATTGATTATATAACATAGCTTTTATGTAACCTATTTGATGAAAGTGGTAGATTTAGTGCTCAAGATAATGGCAAAAGATAGCTGCGTAGCGAGCGTAATCACTCGGATAGTATGGGTTCTGTAAGATGAGGAATTTTAGCTAGAAATATAGAGATTCAGAGAAATGTGTTGTCTTTGAGCCACCCTGACAGCTTATGTATCATACAAAATTCCATCAAAGAAAAGAAATGGAAGAGAAGTTGGTTTTTAAGTTTATATGAAAAACAAAAGTCCACCATTTTTGTTACCAAATTCCAGAGAATTAAACACCAAAAGACCATGGTTTTAACAAAAAAAGTTTAAATTCTGCTAGACCATTAACTGAATACGTTCAATTGTGACTCAAGAATGGTACAAAATAGTTAAATCTGCAAACCATATTCATCATAATGGATCAAAACTTTTACCTGGAATTTCGATAAATGCCTGCCTGTGATCTTCTGCAGCTTTAGAGCCAAGGTTGCAAAAACAATGAAACGTAGAAAATATTGAATTTCTTTTGACGAGCTTTAAATGGGCAATTCTATCAATGCTTATTTGAATCATATAATTTTATGTATTTTTTCTTTAAAGATTATTGATAAAAAACAATTTTCCATGTAGGTGCATTTGCCTCAGGAAAAGGTAAGTTGAAATGATGCTTATCAATTAGGTATACTTAATGATGAAATAAAGAGAGGTTAGAAATGTTTGGAAACAGCAAGATAACAATTAAACGATATGATAACAACAACCCAGCTTACAGCCTCATTTTGAAAAATTTTTGAATTCTTTTGTACAAAATTTTCTGTCCTCAAATTTGGATTCAGAGCACGGATTTTAGTCTACTGTCTAAATTTAATTATTCTATTGCTCACGATATTGATTTTATGACGATATAAAGATAGATATTGTTTATGGGACTTGACCGTGGTTGGCGACTGGAAGGGGGAGGGTAAAGTTTCCCGGAACGTTTTGTGCAGTCAAATCCCTCACAAGTTTTCAAACATCATTTCTTTGTAAAATCTAAAGTACAAGCACAAACAATATGAACAATTTTATCCAGCCTATGATGATAACGCCAAATCCGAGCTTAAAAAAGTCGTATGATGATGTCGGAAAAATTTCAAATACGGTGTATTGTTGCCTGAGAACTGCATTAACGTGAAAACCAGAGTTGCCATTCAGAAGTGTTCTGTTCTGTACAGCAAAATTTGAACCGTTTTTATTATACGGTTTTCTCGGCAATATGGCTTGAGAGTATAATTTTCATGAACAGTTCCATATGCTACACGGCAGCATTGAATATTTTGAAAATGTATTCAGGGACCATTCAGAAAAAGATTTCTGCAAAAATTTCCGGTATTATAGAGCTCAATGTTAAAAATAATTTTAATTTTAAATTATATCGTCTATCCATTTAATTTCTACCAAATTTTTAACCTTTTTGTTTATTTCCATATTAGATGCTTTTTCTTTGTAAGGCATTAAACAGTTGGCGATAGGTCAATCCATCCTTTATTCTGCATTAGCTGCGATTTCAGCAGCCTCCGTCAAAGAGGAAAATTAGCCATTTTAACAACACTAAAGAAATGCTTGTAGACTTTAATTTTATAAATGAACCTTATATGAAATTAAACTGCAATTTATCTTCAGACTGTTATATAATAAAGAAATTCAGATGGTTAACCAAACTTCTCTCGTATACCTGGCTGATGCAAATTCGCTTTTAAAATGTAATTTTGATCTGTCAGATTGTAAGGACATCGTTCCTAACTGCGATTTGTACAAGCTAAATGGATTTTGCTCAGATGAAAGATTCATAGAGTTTATGAGAAGAAATTGTCCAAAAACTTGCGATATGTGCAAATCAGGTATGTAAGGTAGTTTATTTAGAAAACTAAAACTACAATCAAGCAGAAAAGGAAAGGACACGGAGGAAAAAAATCCGTCATCTACGATTCAATGAAGCAAAATATAAAACATGATCGATAGAACAGAAAATCGTTGTTGCAGTAATCTTACTACAAGTGACCTTGAAAACCTTTGTATAATTTACGAATGTCCATCACTTATT